AATCAACTACTGATTGAGTAAACTCCTTACCCAAGTGCAGTGCAGCATTTAGCAACAACCTACAGTGCAGCTGGCAGCATCCAGGGTCATTGCTCTCCATTGCATGGAGATCCCTTCGTCTATTCTGCTGAGTCCCTGGCACTTGCTGCCATCAAGGGGTTTGCAGAAATCAAGTTTGGAGGTGACTAGTGCTAAAGCTCAGCAGCTTTAGGACCGATCTTCAGAAATGCTGTGTTTGGTCCAAACCAGCTGGAGTTCCGCCAAAGAGACGTGTAGGTGAAGAAGCGTGTCTTGCTGATGTGGTCTGTGAGCTGTGGGCTGCGTTTCTCATGTTGGCATCATCTGATGTGTATCCAGCGAGGTTTTAAAATAAGTAGCCCCAAAGAGGCAGAACTGAGCTGCCCAAGGCTGCGTGCCTTGGCGACTGGAGACTCCGGTGTCTCATCAAACATGAGATTCAGCTGCGGCTGGGCCCTTACATCTTCTGTAGACACCCTTTGTGCCTGCTGTGGTTGAGGTAATTTTGCAGCTTTCCCCTGCAAGCTAATGAGGTCTCTCTCTTCTTAGAGATGAGTGTTGAAAAAAATATTAGGAGCGTATCATATCTGAGAGTACTCCCCTTCTGCCAAATGTTTGTTGCATGTGGCCAAAACGATCCAAAGCTGAGCTAGAGGGAAAAAGAATGATACAGATACGCTTGCAAAGCCTGTCCAGAGAAACTTCATGAAATGAAGCTACAAAATTGTAACTGCTTTTCTTTTTTTTTTTTTTTTGAAATAAGTAGACTTTTACTAAGGAGTGGCGTGTATTATGGCTATCACACACAGAATTTGGATGCATTGAATATTTCTAAAATTATATGGCACTGTGTTGTGTGTTATTATATGCCTGTTTGGGTTTTTTACCTGAAACAGCCGTAACAATTAAGCCTGTGTAATTCTTGCTAAACCATCCTGCAAGGTCAGAACTGTGGTCTGTGCTTCAGCAAAGAAAAGAGCTGAGATCCACGAAAAGGAACTTGTCAAGCCAGAAAACATGTAGCACCTACGTTCTCCCATCGTGCATGGGAGAGCAGATACTTGTTTTTCACACCAGCATTTTTCCTAGCTGCGTTTTTCCAATACCTGGTCTGAATACTGGCAGTCTGTGAGAGGAGGTGACAGCATCCCAAACACTGGGCTAATTTGTAGTAGCATGAAGCTGGCAACAGAAAGTGTCCAAAAATGGCTTCCTACAAAGAAGATCTAAATTCACCACTTCTGCTCCTGATGAGGAACACCTTAGGCAGTTCTGGATGTCTCCTTGATTTTTAAATGTGACTTGGAGAGTTTTAATATTATTTGCAAGTGCCAGAGCTTTGCAGGTTCTGCTGATTTGCATGGAAAAGCAAAGTATATCCTGTCTTGTTTCATGATTCAGCCCCGTAATCGGTGGTTTCAATTCTGATGGCAAAAAATCACCACGGTAGTAGGGATGCGGGAGTAGTGAGCTGCTGTTCAGATTCCCAGCCTGATCTTTACTGTCTGAGTTGCAAACCTGAAACTTGTACAAAACAAAAGCTGTATCATCTTTCTTAGCAGACAGGGAATTTATAGAGCAGAATATACAATTATCCTACAATATATATTGTTTCCTTTAGGAAGAGTAAAGTCTTTCACCAGAACTTTCCATTAAATATGGAAAATTTAGTTTAAATGGATTAAATATTTGTCACAGAAAAAAAAAAATACTGACATATATGCATAGGTACCCATACATGTGTGTATATGTATGTATGCATTTACACATATATGCATATATAAACCCACACATACATATTTTCATGAGTTGGCCATTTCTCACTGCAAGAGCCTTCTGTTAGTGCTGGGTGCAGGTGTTTGCTTGCTAAAAATAGCATATGCATGATGTTCAGGCAACAGTTCTTATCAACCCTGCCTGCCAGTGGCTGCATCCCCACAAGTATTACCGAGCTTTTACAACCTGCCAGAACAGCTGAAAATAAAGACCTTAATAAAGAAAACTCAAGCTGGCCAGCTCGATCTTAGGCACCTTTCTCCCTGCTTTTGGTCTGAAATCAGCTTTCTATGAAGCAGGGAGGAAAAATCCCAATGAGAAACTGGTGAAGGATGAGGAATGCACTCAATACAAAGATCCAAAGGGAAATAAGGGTGTGGCTTGTGTTTCATCTCTAAGCATGAGATAAGAGTGTGGCCATAAAATACCTCAAATAGAGACATTATCAAAGCCTGGACCATGTTTTCTCTTACAGCAGCCTTTGTTCAGGGAACCTGACAGTAAGATCTAGAAATGAGTGATGCTGAATGTATACCAGAGGGGGGTTTTATATCTGTAGAGTCAATGCATACAACCAATCACGAGCACCTACATGTGTTGGGCACCTGCAGATTTCAAAAATATTGTCAGATTTTGCACAGGTGCAATGGAGAAATGTGCAAATGATCAGCAATCTGCCCCAAAAGCCTGTTCTCAAGGAAGACAGGGTGAGTAAACAGGTTCACAGGAAAAGGCATAGCCATGTACAAATATGAAATGGAGATCTGTGCTGAGATTTGGAGTCTGGAGGGACCAGGGTGGGGAGCAATGTAATGCCACCAGCTCGGATCTGGAAGCTGCACTGGGCATGACCATCTGTTTCTGGGTTGGACCCCGCTGCAGCAAGCTTGGTTGGGTCTGCCCCAACCCTTACCACTTGTGCACGACCAGTGAGAGTGCTTATTCCCTGGAACAAACTGGGCAGGGGTTTGTTAGCATCTGCCTCTTTGGTCTGGCTGGAAGCTTTGCTGTAGCCTCAACACAAGCTATAGGGCTTGGCTCAGGGGTCACTGGATGAAATACCGTGACCTGTAACAGGCAGGAGGTCAGCCTAGGTGACCTACTTGTCCCCTTTGGCCTTACGCTCTATGAATACTCCTGCAAGGCCAACTGCCTTAATCCCTTACCAAAGAGATGGGGGGATACTGATCTTCTCTCGTAAGACTTTCCATCTCCATTACGCTGCACACTCTTAAGCAGCTCACGTTCATCCATATGGTCAAGCACATACTTTGCATTTGTCTTCTGCTCTAGTGTTAATGATCCTACCAGATGCATTCACATATGACTGCAGGAAATTCACCCAGCATGTGCAGACATTTTGGAATAGTGCATCGAGTAAGAGATACCAGCTTTCATGGGGCGAGTGGGGGAAGCTCATATTGACTCATTCCAGCTAATTTCAGAGAATGAAAGACAAATAGGTGAATTATCTTCTTTCTGGCTAAGATTCCTGCCACCGACACAAGTGTCTCTTCAAACAAAGGATTTTCCCCCTCCTCAGATGTCCTCAGACACTGAATTTGCAATATCTGATAACACACATTTCCATAGCAACAAACAGTGATGACCCAAACACAGGATTATGTGACTTCACTCAGAGTCGAGCAGAATATTAACAAGGATACCGATAGCTAATACTTTCCACTTCTGTGGCACCTCCCTGCAGAGGATTTCAGGCAGCTTTACGCACATCATCCCCAATTTGCAGATGGAGGAATGAAGAGGAGAAGAAGCAAGTGACCTATTCTGAGATCAAGGAAAGAGGCTGGGCTCAGAGCGCCCGGGAGGAAGGGAGGAGAAGAGTAACAAAGACCAGGTCTTCTAGACTGTGAGCAGCACAAGGAGCAGATAGGCTCCTGCTCTCCCCCATCCCTGAGAGCTGCTTTCTTTGGGATACTATGTCCACCTGGCTGCTCCCCATCCCCTCTCTCTGTTCCCCCAGAGGATTCTCTGGGGTAAAATGGCATTTGTAGGTCCAGCTGCCCTGCATTAGCATGCAATGGTCCCACCTTACCCCTCCCTAATGATGCCCAGGCTGCTGGACCCTCTGTGGCTGAGCCCAAAGGAGTGGAGATTTACTTCAGGTGATGGGTGGCCAGAGGCAGTTTATAAATACAGGGTGCCTGGCCTCAGACCTGAAATACATGAAATGCAAATCTGGGAGGTTAAACTTCAGCAAAGGGACATTAAAGGAGCAACTGGCTGAAGGAGCACCATGCAACGCTCTACTGGAGCCGAGGGAGGGGAGAGAGATCCCAGCGTCTGGGCTTATGCAACACATCATGGAAAACAACCTGTATCTCACCAATGGCAAGTTGAAAAGACTGTTGCATCTTTAGAAACTCAAGGAGTCTTTTAATTTCAAAAGAAACTTAATGAAAAATGATAAAAGGAAGCGCATCCCTATCTCTCCTCCCTCAGATAATTGGGTGTAAATACCAGCTTCTTTTCATGCATCAAACCTTTTATCTGTAATTAGAATTGGCTTCATCCAGATCCACTGGTATCCCATGCAAAGGGAGTTCTTATGGTGTAATAAAATGCCATGTGATTATTTATTTATTGTTAGAATACATGTCAGAACAACTTCCAGAGATTTGCCTGGGTTTAGAAATGAAGCTCTGGAAGGCTGCTCTAAACTGCAGCCCAAGAAAAGGTCCTTTCACGCGTCTCTGCAATACCGCGCTGTCGTGGTTGTCTGTTCCCTGTGTTTGAAGAACAGGGGAAATTCATTCAGTGAAGCACCTGGGCTTGCGTTTACCTCCAAGTGAAGTAGAAAGTATCTTTTGAAACCAGAAGAACCACATGCTTAAACCACGCTTGAAATAATCTGATTTTTTTTTTTTTGGTTTGATGGGAGTTTCAGAAAACCAATGAAGTTTTAAAAAAGCAGATCAAATAAAACATTTCTTTCAACCCTGACAATCTGTTTCACCTGGGACTACTGAAGACTTTTTTTAAAGCAAAGCAAAAGGATAATTTTGGGGGAAAGGGGCCAGAGTCACAGAGGTCTTTGGAAGTGTGTTTAGGATAGGGAAGCAGGGACTGGATGCTACCTTTATGCCGTGGCCCAGTGATTGGTGAGCCCACCTACTGCATGGGAATCCCCTTTTGCTGTGCTGGGAGAGCCATCTAAATACCGGCTTTTCTTTCCTTCCCTACAGATGTGCGCCTTAAGCACCCATTTGCAGAGTGCTGGTTGGATGAAACCTGTGTTTGAGGGTCCCTCTCAGAAGGCTGTATGTTGCAGGGGGAATGTGGGACATCCATACTCTGTGAGCTCTGTCCTGAAACAAGTAAGTGGTTTCTTATGTTGGTAATGCTGAGCCAGATATAATGGGAGGAGGGTTTCTTTTCAGACCTGTGGGTGCGTCACATACTATGAGAGCACCAGGGAAAAGTGTCCCACACTCACTCTTTATCTTCTCACCACCTTTACCCTTTTCTCCCTCCTGTTTGAGATAGATAGTAACAGAGTACTATTTTTTAAAAACCCAAAGCTCTCAGGGATTTTCAGAGGCAACTAATAATATTCTGTGACAAAAGACCTGGCTGGATTTAGGGTGGAATTTCTGAGCGGCAGACCTCGCCAAGGATTTGAGGCAATCCCATATCCAGTTGCCATCCTGGTTCAGGAAATGCTGTCTATGCGCAACAAAAAAAGGTGCAGAGTAAACCAACCGAGTGTTAAAGTTCTAAGCAAGCCCATAAATTAACATCCACTATGAAAGAAAATACGTGTACGTTACAGCGTGCAGTTATTGCACATCTCTGCTGGAGAACAGCTGCAAAATCCCTGAGCAGCTACTGGGGCCACAGTCTCCACTACCCAACCCAAAGAGATTTTAGCTATGGCTCTAGAGGGTCAGACTGGGCTTTGGGAAAAAACCAACAACAAGCCCATAAAAAACAGCCTTGCTTTGAACTTTCTGCATGTGACTCAAGGAGTCAAAGGAGAATTGCTTTGGCTTATAACTCCAAAGCACATTTTCTTGTGCCTCATTCTAAAGAAGAGACATTTGTGGTTTTGAGGGACACAGGAAGTTGATAGAATTTGTTGATAATGATTGATGTTGATAGAACATGTTGATAATGATGGAAAGCAAATTTCTTTTTATCCCCGTGGCTGGAACAAAGTGGACAAACAGTCCAACACAGTTCATGTCACATTTGTACCTGGATGCTAAAATGTCTCCAAGTGACTTCAGGGACAGAAGCATTTTGCACAGGAACTTTCCTTCTGTCAGCTTCCTGGTACTATCTCCTGCCACGCTTTTCCTATTAAAGCTACCCTAAAAATAATGAAGGAAATGGGTATTTTCTATCAGTCAATGAGCTACCTAAAAGCTGTGGAGCAAAACTGAGGGACAAAGAGCATTTTCCGAATAAATTAAACCTGGCAATTAAAAGTGACTTGGAAACCAAAGTGTGCAAAGTGGATGTCAAAAGCAAGCTGGAGTGCATACCTTAAGTTGGTTGTGGTGGCCTTGCAAACTGCCCCCACCACCAGTAGACCTGTTACAAGCAAGAGGCCTGACCAGAAACTCAAGTGCATCTCTGTGTCCTCTGATACATCCAGATATGTGGACCGAGGGGGCTGTCTTGATTCCTGGAGGGATGTCAGCCCCAGACCCTTGGACTTCATTCGGGGCTTGCAGTAGCCCCCAGCGCGTTAGGACCCTGTTGGCAGACCTTTCGCTCATTGTTTTCTTCAAATAATAAAACAGGATATGACGGGCTGAATTTTGCCCTGAATTCTGTGGATAGGATGACTCAGAGACCAGGATATTTCAGGGGGAAAAGAAAGCGGGCTGTGTGCTTGCTAGGAGAAGGAAGGTCTTTGCAATAAGGAAGCTGATGCAATTAGCTCCTGCCGTTGGGGAGCCTGGGTAGCCTGCGCTTGGCCGTGGTGGCAGCCAGACACTTCTCCCCCTCACCACGTCACCGCAGACGTTTCTCCAGCTAAGTCGGTGAAGAAACACTGCAGGGGAAGTGACTTGGATGTTTCCTGCAGGCAAGTATATATAGACCAGCCAGTGCCTCGTGCTTTATGTGTGTGGCCAGGTCAGGGTGGGTATTACACACAGACACGCAGGAGTTGTATTCCAATGTGACCACGGGAGAGACCAGATCTTTGGATGCTTCCTTCCCTGCTGGCATACACCATACACATACACTCTTTCTTCCCCTTCCTCAAGAGCATAACCATTTCTAACTCCAGCTGGTGCTCCCTGAGGGCTCAGCTCCAAGCTTACTACCGTGCACCAGGCTTAATTTCCACCACTTATATTATATAGAACATTCCTTGTTACTAGCTCTTTGTGAGATGTGAGAGAAAATAACTTTGGAAACCCCAGACCACCTAGACCTTCTGAAAAAAAAAAAAAAAGAGTTTAATTTCTTTGCAAGGTACCTGAGCCCTTAGGAAAACTTGGAAGGAGAGGACTATGAAAAGAGGATGAGAATGGAATGAAAAGATGGTGTCTCTGAATAAATCACTAAACTAAAGAAAATTAAAAATTTTCAAATCTTGTTTGACCTTTTTATAATCTTCTTTGCTGTGAGGGTGGTGAGGCACTAGAAGAGGCTGGCCAGAGAAGCTGTAGCTGCCCCATCCCTGGAGGGGTTCAAGGCCAGGCTGGATGGGGCTTGGAGCAACCTGGTCTGGTGGGAGGTGTCCCTGCCCAGGGCAGGGGGGTTGGAACTCGATGATCTCTAAGGTCCCTTACAACTCGAACCATTCTATGATTCTTCAACCCCTTGCATCCTTCCCCTACACTGCACCCCTACACAGCAAGCACATGGTTCTATTTGCATGGGCCAGAACATTCCGCAAATTCCACCTCTTTCCATGACTAGCCTCCATTTCTCCAAAACTCTCTTCGTGGCTTTGTTGAAGGGACTGGTTTGCACAGAAGCCCCATCCAGCTCTAACTCTTAAGTCAGCAGGAAGCTATAGGTACATTTTTCTTTCCTAAAGTGATTATTAAAGCCTTCTTCCATCAAATCCTCCAGGGAGCAGAGCCTAAGGAAAGGCTCAAATATGGGCTGAACTCTAACATCCCCATTGCTCAGTGAGGAGGCCTGTCCCCAGGGTAACTCGCACTGGATAAGTTTGTTTGCCATAAAAGTAAACACTGCTATAGTAACCTGCCCTGTGCAGAACGGCCCATGCCAGCAAATCTGATCATTCATTGCCTTCACAGAAGTAACTGCAGGGTGGATGCACCCAAACTACCTTTAAATGACTCACTTTGCAGCAGCACGTTGCTCAGTGCACGCTATTTTTCGAAGCTTATCCCGTTGTCCTCAGTTCTTGCCTGCGCTCTGGCCCAACCAGTGCCAACTGCTCTTCTCCTAGCTCCCCATCTGGATGGTTTCTGTACTTCTTGTCTTCTCCATTATTTCCTGAATCCCAGTTTCGTTCTTCTCGGACTCCTCACCCAAGGCTCTGTGTTTTTCTTACCTTGTGGTTGTAGTCAGTCTCATTGGCATCTGCCTTGTACCAGTGCTCTTCCTCAGACTTGCTTTGGCTCTTCACCTCCTGCTGCCATTTTGCTGCCTGCTCCAGCCTTGCTTGTCCAAGCAGCTGCCATCTCCTCAGTCTCTAGAAGGACCATCTTTGCCCACCCAGGACAAAAGTCCTCTAACCTCCTCTGCCAAGGGCTCCCTGCTTCTCTACTGGCACAACATCAGTCCCCTCCTCATGCTCTTCCTGGAAATCCTTACTGCAGGTTGTTGGACAGGTCAGATCTTTTAATGAAGTCCACGCCAGACCACAACACAAGAAATTATTGAGATCTACATGGGTACAAGTCCTGGCCCAAGAAGTAGGAGTACATATAGTCCCTGAGGCTTGCAATAATCTAGCAACCTACATAGCTGCCATATTTTTATCTTTTTACAAGTATCACAACCAGCAGGTGATGGCCAAGAAAGAGGTTTCTGGGCAAGATGTATCTGATGGTTGAATTGGTACAACCTTTCTTATGATGAACTTTCTTTTGATGAACTTCTCCACACCTAGCCTTCCAGAGCCAGCACTCAACCTTCCCCAGCACTCATGTCAGTTGGCTGTCTCCTTCATGCCACCCACCTGATAAGGAAGGGGGATAGGCTGAGCAAGTTCAGACACTTGGAAAGGTTGAATCTGCCAAAGGTCTGGATGCCAGCTTGCCCAGACCTCTCCTCGGTGGTCATGCTCTACTGTCCCAAGCACGAGTGCAGGCATGGGACTTGTCCAGTCTGTGCTGCTGTTCCTGTCCTTGTGCTTTCCTAGTTTTGGAGGTCACTGGCATTTCCCCTCCTGCTGGTCTTTACATCTGCTGCAATTTCTCACTGCAGCAGCCCGGAAGGATCGCAGTCTTTCAGACTTGCTCCTCCTGGCTTCAGGACTACTTTTGTTGTCTTTTAGGCATCTCTAAAGTAGCAGCTAAGCCCTAGGGAAAGCTGTGGAGTCTGTGAACGTACCCAGTAGGAGGCACTTCACTTTTACTGATGGTCTTACACAGCCAAGGTCTGTAGAGCTTAGAAGTCATCCCTCCACACATGTCTATAAACCCAGTCCTCAGCCATTCAAATTAGGAGCCCTGGAAAGGCAACCAATTCCCTCCCTAACCTCATGCACACAAAAAGTATCACTACGTTAGGACATCTCATAAATAAAACACATGTCAGAAGTTTTCCTTGCGTCGCTTTCCTTGCATCAGACACAGTAAACAAATACATTCAGCCCTGTTTGAGCGAGGAGACTTATGTACCAATCAGTGCCCCAGGAAATCATGTTTATACCTGCACAGAAATTGCTCAAGAACAGTATGTCCTTATGAAACTATTACTTCTGTCCCCTCCCTCTCTCCCCCAACCCCACCATGGCCCAGGCCTGGGAGAGCCAAGGCTATTTGGCCATGGGGTTGGAACTACAGAAGCGCAGCACGCCTGGACGCCACACGTCTGTTTGTTTAGTGCCTCTGAGCCCTTGCCTCCTTCCTCCTCCTTCCCAGTTGTTTTTCTCTTTTTTTTGCCTCCTCTCATTATTATTTTTCTGGGCCCAGATTGCAGTGGGACCCTCTTCCCCCTGCAAAACACCAGAGAAGCCCCGAGGAGCAGAAAATACCACCCCCATGTAGAGGGGCAGGGAGTGGGTGGTGGGGCTGGATTCCCCTCCAATCCCATCCCATCCCATCCCATCCCATCCCGCGCCCACTCAGCAGGGCAGCTGAGCTGGTGACAGGTGACAACTTCCTCCTGGCATTGGTCCCTAGTAAATTATGACAAGGAGCAAGGAGGGAAGCAA